GAAGCTCTCTTTGATCGACGTCAATGTGCACGTCCTGGGTGGTACGATGCTTCTACTCAAAACGCTCCAGTGAGCACGCAGAGATCAGGCGACGTCTGAGAAGATGGCCGGGAGTCCGTACGCCACACACCGGGGACTTCGAAGGCAAAACGCTCCTCAGTCCCCCCTAATCACTTGTAACGATTCTGGTAAACAGGACCCAAGGAATTATGGGATTTGTGCTATGCGGGATACATTATAGCTGGTTGATGGACAGCCCAGCATGTTCGGAAAAGCTCCTGTCCTCTTGGAAAAATTGTAAAAATTAAACATTTTGAACAATCAGGTCAACAGCATGAAACACATTTGTACACATCCACTGTGGTGGCTCTTGGGCTCCCTGGGGCGAAGATGACACCAGAAACCTCTCTAATTGATAAAAGCACATCTTAAATGTCACTGGCATTAAACAGGGGAATTAGAGAAAGTCCTCACTAAACATCTTTTGCGAATATACTGTGATCGCCCTGAATCTAAGGATCAGATTATTATTCCCAGATCAATTATTTGCATATATTTGAATATATATTTTCATATTTGCATGTGCGGTTTGCTGTTTAGGTATAAACTCAAAGAGTATGTTTCCATTTCAAAGGTTTTGTGATCTGGATAATTTCTTATGCAAATGTTAGAATACCATTTCATCTTTTTTAGTATTTCCTAACGTCAAGGAATCCTGAAACACAATGAACAGATTCTGTAGGTGAACCTCCTCCCTTACTCAGGAAGTCATATTAATGCTCTAAAAAGTCACTTTATTCTTGAGCACATCTACATATTCCCCCTTAGCGCAGGTCGGATGCCCTGCTCAGCTGGCATGCAGACAGATTCTCTGCTTACAGTCTATTTATCAGATGTTTTCACCCAAAGTGACAAACATATTTTGAGGAAGGAGGGTCAGTCAGGCCCTGGAGCATCTGGAGGTTAAGGGCCGTGCTCAGAGGCCCCAGAGAGACATGGTCCTGCTGGGCCGTGCTCAGGGGCCCCAGAGTGACATGGTCCTGCTGGGCCGTGCTCAGGGGCCCCAGAGTGACATGGTCCTGCTGGGCCTGGGATTTAAACCAGCGACTTTCTGATCACAGGCCCGTCACAAGCTTCCCCCCCTCCCCCCCAGCACCCCGGGAGTGTCCCTGCCTGAATGCCCGCTTGTTCATCTGTATAGGATATCCAGACCCATTCTGCCGATACTTGTCTTTTTCAGGGACTAGTCCTGGAATTTCAATGTGCATGACAGGAATACCGGGAAAGCCGCACCCCCATGAGAACCTCATGGGAAACAAACATTACTGTCCATCCAGGGAGCTGTATCAGGCCGGGGGTGGGGGGGGAGCACGGTCGGGAACCCTGACACGCTGGCAAAACCTGAAGCCCTGATAAATGCTTAAAGAAATCGAGGTCTGGGCTGTGTTTGTTTATTTCGGGAAACTCACGCCGCTAACCCCAGTCCTTGGAGAAAACTGCCCTTTTCTGTGTCGGTCCAAGGGGAATCCACCACGCTGCCAGATGTGTGTGTATGTGGGGGGGGGGGGCTCTCTTCCTTTCCCTGAGATTAATGACTGTTTGGGTCCATTTGGCAGGAGGGGCTTCCTCCACGAAATTCCAGGGGGGATGATCACCACATCAGCAAAGGGTGTGGAGCGGGGCGGAGCCTGACAGGAACCAGGTATCCCACACCCCCACGCTGACGATAGGCTGGCTGGAGATACCAGCACAGCCAAACAAGCAAGCCCAGACTCCATGGTGACCTGCTCCAGCCAACCAGAAGCTCCGAGAGCGAAGAAAACCTTGAGAAAACTGCTTTAGTGTGAGTGAGGCAAGGGCAGCCAGGGGCCAGGGATGGCTTTATGATCGCCATGGCAACTATAGCCGAAGAACCTACACCGATGGAAGATGTAGGATGACAAGAAGATGCCAAGCGGCAGCGGGCTCCCCGCATAGGTGTCATCCTGGGGACCGGGGTGTACACGAGGTCCTGCAAGCCACCCAAGCAACTCATGCGGACTCGTTAGTCAGCCAAACAAGCTAAAGGTGTCCCCCACAGCCGGGGGGGCCAAAAGCAAAACTGGAGGCCAGGGGGAGACTGATCACCAATAAGAGCGTTAAACCACAGGAGTTCTGGGGGCTCAGTCCAGTCGGCGTTATTAACACAGAGGACAGACTTGGCACACAGGAAGTAATCAGCATCACACAGGAAGGGGGGGGTGGAAAGGACACCGGGCAGGGGACTCAGGACCAAGTGCCTCTAAAAGAGGGCAGCGCTGATGAGACGCCTGTATGGGGCAGATCTTCCGTAACATGATGGGGGAGGGGGGGGCTAATGCTCCCCAGACCCGCACTCTTACAATCCTGCCCGCACGTCCTGCCGAACCTCACAGAACCCAGCAGCAGCCCTGGCCTTGAACCCGGCTCCCTCGAGGCAGCTTCTACGGTCCTCTGAGGTGTTTATTCCTGCCCTTGTCTTTGACTACTCAATTCTGGCAAGAACACCACAGCTTTGGGTCAAGCAGAACACCATCAGAAATCACAGAGAGGATATTTACATTTTATTGGGGGGGGGGGGGATCAGGTGTTATGCAGTTATTGTGTATTTCAATGTCTGTGTGTGCAAGTGCTGTGTGTCTGACACACACTCATTTTGGCTAAAACCTTAGCATTCTGCATTATGATGTCACATTTATGCATAAGACTGAATTTACCTTAATGACTGTCTGACAGCATGAAAAATAAAAAAATGACTGGAATCAGGATGAGACAAGTTTTCCTTTTAATAAGAATTTGACATGTACAGAAAAAATGGCTTCCTGCCGTTCTTGATACATCATGAAAAACAAAGTCTTATAAACCAATTGCACTGCTTACATTAGTGATTCGCTTTAGACACCACGAGTACCGAAAGAAAAAAGGCCATGAGAAATAAAGGCTGATACTCAGGAAGAAAGTCTGCTGATCCCACGCAGGCAAATCCTCTGGAAAGACACAAAGCCCAGCGAGAGCGGCGAGCAGCAGCCGTCTGAGGGGCGAGGACCCGCGGTACCGGGGGGAGACGCTGACTGTCTGCTCATCTCAGGCACTTATTAAGCAGTCTGACATTCAGGGCTGGAGAGATGGAGGCGCCAGCAGACTCACCTCTCAGGGGGAAAACCAAGGGGGGGGGGGGTGATTCTCAGCAAATCAGCAGGCAGGTCGATATCCCCTTCCCTGCGTTACTCCATCCTGGTGCTGGGATGGTCTCCATGGGGGTCCCGCATCCTCCCAGTAAAACCAGTGAAATATCCAGCAAAGGCAGCAGCTGTGTTTGGCCAGCAGGGACACCCCCAGAGCCAGGCGTGCTGGGGGGAGCACATC